AGTTTTTATCAGTGTTATTTTCTCGCTGTTGGCTTTATCAAGATCAAGCGCATTATACTATGGTGAGATGTGCAGCTGTCATCTGTCTTTCTCAAACTCATTAATAATTCATCAAGTTTAAACAAAGGAAGTCATGACGGATACGGTGTTTGGATATCTGATCTTAATTAGCATAGATTTTTACGATTTTATTTCTCTTGAAGTAAGAGTCGTTTCCTCTCCTCAGTCGAACACTGTAATTTTACCCCCGATTTCTCAAACTACCTGCTTTTTCAAACCAATTTTTGTATGCCTGGGAGGTTCGAAGAATCGTGATTCCACTGAATATGTTTTGAACCAACAACAACAACACGCACGTTATTACCAAAATAGAAAAATTCTCTGAACCCTCGAGAGAAACGAAAATCTCAGATCTCTAGTTTCAAAAGATCAAAGGATTTTCTTTAGTAATATCCTTGCTGAATCCTGCATGGATAGGCCCTTTGCATCTGGGGTTACGTGACTTGATTTTTACTAATTTTTTCCCTATTATGGGTTATAACTTAAAGAATGCCAGAAATGGAAAGAGCCTATCGAAAACAGCAAAATTGCAGAGTTTGAGTCCCATGGCATTAAAGAGTAAGTTTACTTGTCAGTTTGAATTTTTGGAAAATTTAGAGGATCTATGAAAAATGTTGCTGGAGAGCAAGGCCTTGCCCTCAAACAACTTTTTTCATATAAAACTTCTTAATTTTATTAAACATTCAAACCGTCGTAAAATGTCATTCTTTAATGCCTGTGGTCTCAAACGTGGCCATTTTGGTATTTTCAACATACATTTTCCATTTCTGGCATTCTTTGATTTTAAGCCCATAATTTTGTGAAAAGTGGGTCACGTGATGGGCTAGCTGCAAATGGCCTTATTTCATCACTAAAGTGGAGGTAGTTCAGGTAGTTTATGAGGCATTGTAACCTTGTTGATTATGTTGGTTGCCTAGGCTACCATGCTCCCCTCGATTTGTACATCGAGCTGAACCACATGTCGTCAAAGCTTGAGCAGCCCCTCCCCCCTGACAAAGAAATCAACTTGTGTGTTGGAAAGGAGTGGTACAGATTTCCAAGCAGCTTCTTCTTACCTTCAGAAAGGTAGTAACTGTTGTTTAATCAAAGACATCCGTTATTTATTTTATTTATTTATTACAATTTAATAAAACTCATTTAAAATACAAATTAACAAAAACAGAAGTGCCATAAGGATGGTCCGTTAGGATTTATTCTGATTTTTTAACATTATGGCCCCATTACGAGGGGGGAGGATCCGAGTGTCCCACATCCCTTTTTTGGCCCAAATATCC